TGGTTAGGTTTGGGGCTAAGGTGTCCATTGGGTTACGGTTAGGGAGAGGTATGCATTGCTAATGGTTAGGTTTGGGGCTAAGGTGTCCATTGGGTTACGGTTAGGGAGAGGTATGCATCGGTAATGGTTAGGTTTAGGGTTAGGGCATAAAAAGGGTTGAAAATGACTAAGAATCAATAAAAGTCATTGGGAGTCAAAACATGGTCCTCATTACATACAGCAGAACGAGTGTGTGTGTGTGTGTGTGTGTGTGTGTGTGTGTGTGTGTGTGTGTGTGTGTGTGTGTGTGTGTGTGTGTGTGTGTGTGTGTGTGTGGTGTAAAGTACCCACCATTCTTCTCCGGTTTCCATCCTCCAGGTTCTGTGCAGCGCAAATTCTGGTCACCTGATCCTCCTTCCAGAATGGCTGCAGGTGGAGCCAGAGGAAGAGGGTTTAGTGGGAGGAGCTTCCCACTGGGTCAGAAGGACAGGGTGACACCTGTGTGGACAGCAGGTGAGCGGGTGGCTCTGAGGAAAACTCTGTCAGCTGACGATCAGCTGCTGAGGCCAGCAGGAGGAGAACTAAAGCTGCTGAACGGACTGGAGAGAGGCCGAAAGAAGCTGCGCAACATCCATGTGAGTTTCTGCTCTTACTCTGAAAAATGGGATATCTGTGGTTCTGCTCTTATTCTGAAAACATTTAGCTGAGTTTTGGTCTGTGGTGATACCATTTTAATGAGTTAATTCTGACTTGAAGAAATATTCCCTTTATGCTTTTATTTTGAAAGTATTCATAAGAATCTCTGCTGTCATTTGATTAGTGTTCATACGTTTAGACTCTTACTCTGAAAGGACCTGAACAACCTGTACTTTTATACCAAAAAATACTGAGTTTTTGTTGGTACTCTATTCTGAAAACTTCCTTTTCTTTCTGTTGTATTTTGAAAATATTCAGTTTCAGTTCTTTCAGTTTCAATTCAGTTTTTATTCTGAAAATATTTAAAATGTATCCTTTCATGCTTAAAATATATATTTTCTCCTTTATTATAAGAATCTCAATTATTTTTGTTGGTTATTTAGAAAATATTCAAACGTTCTGCTTTAAATCTGAAAAAATTAAAAGCTTTTATTTTGTTAAAAGACTTCTTTGAGCTTCTGCTGTTATTCTGACAATAATAACAGTTATTCTCTGTTAGCCTTAATTTCAGAGCGATCTTTATTTATTGGGAATGCTGCACGATAACATTTAATCTTACATGATGTGGATCTTTTTGTGCAACAGTTATTATATAATCAGATAAATAACAAAACAGGTCAAATAACATTTAATTTTAATGGCTGACTTTTCTCCAAAAGCATAAAAAAAAACCTTTTCAAAGTTCAGTTTGATAAAATCCAAAATGTATGGCTTTGCTTAAAGAAAGCTATTTTAAAATCAATTCTATTTAATTTACAATATTTGTGTTTTTTGTAGTTTCTCTGAGAATTTCTGTAAAATTGCTTCTTTAAACATATTTCCATTTTTATCTTTAAATGTTCATTAAACTTTTGAGTCAGGCAGCTATCAGGCGCCTCTCCTTACTGTAGAAACTCCTTTGAAGGAATTCGATGATCTCTGATTCATTTTGTTCTAAATAGTATTTTGTTCTTTTCTCCGTCATTTAAATTGTTATCAGAATATTTAAAGTTGCATTTAAAAACCTGCAAGAATCAAACATTTCTCTATCATTATGTGACCAAAAGACACTGGTTTAAACTGCACATTTATTACAGACTCAGATTTAAAACACTTAAGAAATGAAACCAAGCATCCTTCGCTTTGTTTTCACAGTTTTGGGAAAGAAACTGTTCCTATATTAGCATCATATCAGCTTCTTCAGGAAAGTTTTTGCAAAAAAGACACACCAAACAACAGACTGAGGAAACCTGCTGGACTGCTGTCATGGTTACGGCGTCACGTAAAGGTTGCTTTATGAGTTTAGGGTTGGTTAAAAGCTGCCATCGAAAAGAGAGGAATGTTTTGACCGGTAGCGAACCTCAGCAAACGGAGCGATGAAGGGATCAGCTGCAGGAGCTCACTGGATGTTTGCTCTCCTCCTTTATGTTTTACTGCTATATTCCCATTAATAGGATGGATGTAGGGGAAATATGACCTGATTGATTTCTCTGCTTTTGCGCTGAAGATGAAAAATAAGCTGAAAACAGAGTAAAAGTTTACCTGAAACTCAGATCAAACACTGATATTTAAACTTTGCTTTTAATGTTTTCTTTACTTTTTTCTGAGCAAAGCTGCACGGTGTTTTTACTCGTTCTCTTGTCGTCTGGTCTGCCTGGAAGAAGCTGCAGCTTCCTAACCTGCAGAGACCTTTATTGTGAAAGAGCTGCAGGAAGTGTGGCACCTTCTGGATCAGATGGGGATTCCAGCTTGCTGGAGCTTTTTGTTCTGTGTTAATTAGATCCCGTTAGCACGGTGTTTGTCCTCAGCAGCTGGTTCCTCTGAGCGCCTGCTCACTGTTGACCCTTCCCGTTAAACCCTGTCAGACTCTGGTTGTCAGGAGGTGAGATCGTTTTGTTTGTGTGCAGCCTTAACCCTTCTCTCAGCTGAACCTGGTGAACCTCTCCAGTTACAAACTCAGGTTGCAGAGCAGCTCCACCAGCCAGTTGGACGGTGCACAGACACATTTCTTCCTTTAAAGTTCAGATTCTTCCGCCCTAAAAGAGAAAAGGAAGACGTCTGTGGAGCTGCTAATTCTGATCTCAGCGATACGATCCCTTGAATTTATCCACATGTGGTCTTCCAAGCTTCTCCAGCAGAGCCACCGGCTTTCCACACAAAGCTGCAGAGAACCTCCTCTGAGCCTTTATCCTCCTCTGAATGCAGCTGGAAATGAGAGAATTACGTTCTGAGTGTCTGAAACCAGAAGAAACCATTCCTGATTCTACGGGTTCAGAAAAGCTGCTCAGAACACGTCGTCCTTTCATCCCGATGATGATGAAACTGGGGGTAAAATAAAAAGGGACGTCTGACTCCATCACTATGGGTTCAGCTGTTCTGGATTCTTCCACTGTGGACCTCTGATGTATCACCAGGGATCAAAACTTTGCAGCTGATGAATCTGCTCAGATCTGCCTCATCATGAACAAAACTCCAATTATTCTCATGCTGCTATTTGATTTTGAAGGAAAAGGATAAACAGATAAAAAGTTTCCATCAGTCAGTAATTAAACCCCCACGTCAGATATTTGCGTAATTTAACCGCCTGCCGATTTATTAGGTAGAACTATTT